ATTGCAAGTGAGAATTCGTGAATGTCCGTTGTCTTACAGCGACGGTTATGAATTTTTTTAAAGATTTGATTTGCCGGCGCAGCACGCACCAAGCAGGAAGAGCTGCAGGTAGCGAGAGAGCAGACTGTCCGCGGAGCAGGGAGCCCGGTGCGGGGCGGGACCCTGGGACCCCGGGACCCCGGGATCGTGACCTGAGCCGAAGGCAGCCGCTAACCCACTGAGCCCCCCAGGCGCCCTTGCTTATGAATTTTCTTTGGCCCTAGTTGAACTGGGGAATTTTAATTAAATCAATTTGGAGAAAGGGAGTATGATTTCTCTACACTGAGCTGCGAGTGTGAAGGTGCACGCCCCCAGGGGTGCTCCGTGTACCCAGCGCCCGTTTCTCCAAAGTTCTCGAGGGCGCCTGTGTCAGTGTTGTGGTCTGTTGGGTGGCTACGGAGCAGTGCTACGAGCAGTCTCCGTGGCACCTGGAGACGGGGGTCTGTCCCCGTACGGATGGGGCTCCCGACTGTACCGAGGAAAGCGTGTGGGACGACGTGAGAACGTGGCCCCTGCACCTCCCTTGGCCTCCGGATGACACCGTCCACTAACCTTGACCTAAGTCCCGGTCTCTCAGACCCTGCGATACTCGCATTGGAGGCCGGCGGTTGTCGTTGGGGGCTGACCTTTGCGTTGTAGGATGTTGGGCAGCGTCTTGGGGCTCTGCCCTCTAAGGACCTCTGCAGTCCCCGTCGCGACAGCCAGTCTCCAGGCACTGCCACGCGTCCCCTGGGGCCCAAGTCTGTCCGAGCCGAACCACCGGCCCAGAGGAGTGTCCCTAGACAACTTCTCGGCTCCAGTGACAGCCTCGGTCGTGCCTCTGTGTTGTGTAAACAGTCGCAGACTTGGCTCGGGTGCGTCAGATAAAAAGAGACAAAAACACGCTTTTTCTCCCTTCTCCACCTTCGGAGAACTCGGAGCCGGCGCTCCCGGGAGCCCCTGGTGTCTAGGGCCCGCCCGCTGCCGAGGACTTGGGATAGAGACGGGAATACGGAGGGTCTCCCAACTTCTCGAACGTTTCCTGTGGCTAAGAAAAGGTGTGCGAAATAAGCAAACGTGCTAATTGCCCACGATTTTCGCCACGCTGCCCTGTAGCAGTGTTTTTCAGACCTCGTAGTTGAGACACTGAAGTTCCCTGGGAAAGCTGCGGTCGGAGCCGACGGCCCAGCGGCTGGGGGACGCGCCTTTGAAGCATGTGAGACTGGCCCGCCGCGACGCTCACGGGTTTGTTAAAAATGCCCAAAAGCAGCGGAACGGCCATCCGGGCCTCGTGGCAACACGGGAAAGGGCGTCTTCGTGTCACGGCACACACCGGAGCAGGCTTCCGAGGCTGGCCGTGTCTCCGCAGCCGCTCCCGCAGGAGCGGGAGCCAGAGCTGGGGAGGCTGAGGGCTGCTCTCGCGGGGAGCCTGCCCAGCTTGCGGCGCAGCGTCCGCGGCGACCAGCTCCCTTGTCACTGTGCGGCTCGGCGCGGGGCCCCGCCCGCAGCCCAGGGCCTGATCCCGGACACCCGGGAGCCAGTCCCGCAGCGAGTTCTCTCTGTGTCTCTCACGAATAAATACAAACCTTTAAAAAAAGAGAAAGAAAAAAGCACTGCTCCTGAGCGGCATCTCTGTAAAGCAAGCCCTTCGGGATTCCTCGTTAGCAGGAGAGGCAGGGCTGCTCCTGCGGGTTGCGGTGCTCCCCGGCCACCCCACGCGTTCCCGCCCAGTGTGGATGCAGCCGGGCCTGGGATGGGCTCCTGTCCCTCCGAGCCTCCCGAGCATCCCGAAGGCCCCGGACGACCATGTGACGCGACGAGCTTCTGGGTACAACGGAAAAGGCACATTCCATTTCCCCGGACCCTTCATTCTCTTGAGGTGGAGGCAACTTCTTCCAGTCCCGCCAGCCTCCTCACGGTTGGCCTCGGGATCCAGTAGCCGCCCGGCGCCCTGTCATCGGCTCCCTCCGACTCACTAGTTAGGCACTTACGCTGTCAAACCCAAGTAGAGGAATCTATGAAAAGCCGGGTCCCTGGTTTCAGCCGCTTTCGTCATAATAAGGTCAGACTCTGTGCATATGTATCCTTCCCGGTCCTAGGCGGGGAGCACGTGGGGAGTTCAAGGGAGCGAGAATGATGGTGCGGAGCAGGCCCCCGGGGCCCTGGGGCTGAGACTGCACGGCCGGGCGGCAAGGTGGCTGTGGGCGCCCGGTCCCCTGGCACAGGGCCCCGGCGGGGGAAGGCGCGTGTGCCCGCCGCCACCCACTGGCCAGCCCAGGCCGGGAAGGCCCTCGGGCTGCCGACGCCGAGCGGTGACCGGGGTGAACGGCTTGGGCCCCGCAGCCGCTGTGCGGTCGGGAGATGCCTGGCGGCTGAGGACCTGGAGTCGGGGGCACAAGGGTCCAGGGTGATGGCCGGAGGTGACCCAGCTGGGGAAGGGCAGGAGCTGGCGGTCCCGCCGGGTTGTGCGGATGCTCCTGAAGGACCGTGCAGGAGGGCAACCCTGGGGGCCCGAGGTGGGGGGGGACAGGCCTGGGCCGCACCTGCAGGCAGCACGGGCCTGGGACGGGGCTGCGGGCCGCAGGCTGAGCCCGCAGAGGTGAGGGCACAGCGCAAAGGCCGCGTGACCCCTCAGGCCGCGGACACGAAGGGATCCCGGTGGCCAAGTCCAGGAAGGACCGGAGGTGCCCTCGGGTTACTGATATGGGGGTCGGCGGTCCCCCCCTTTGTGAGGGCCGTGGCACTGGGACCGGGCTGCAATCCAGGCTGGGAAGGACTGAGGACAGGGACGCACTGCGGAGACCTCGACTCTAGTCAGGTTTTTGTTGCTGTTGTTGTTTTTTAAGATGTTCTGTATTTATTCATGAGACCCAGAGAGAGAGGCAGAGACACAGGCAGAGGGAGAAGCAGGATGTAGGACTCGATCCCGGGACCCCGGGGTCACACCCTGAGCCGGAGGCTGATGCTCCACTGTGGGGCCACCCGGGTGCTCCTAATCCGGTTTTTATTGAGATATTGATCAACCATGCATGAGAAGAGCGATCGTCCCTTCCTAAGTTACAGGGGACACTCCAAAGCCCGGGTGGCAGCGGGGGTCATCTCGCTTCTTCAAGCAGCACGCACTTAACTGAGCAGCTGGTGTGGGCCAGACCCCAGCAGGTGCCGGGATACAGCGGCCAAGCAGCCAGACCCGGGCCTGCCACGGGCGCTCATGCTCTCGCCGCAAGAGACCAGCAATAAATGTGTAATAAATAACATAATTTCCCTGGTGCTAAATGCTATATAAAACATTACATGCGGAGTAACCCACTGAAATTGTGCTCGGAATCTGAAATCGTATTTTTAAACTGGGTAAATACACATGACAACACCTACCGTCGTGACCATTCTTAAGCGTGTAGCTGAGAAGTGCAAAGTGCATCCACAGTTGTGCAGTCCTACCCCGTGACTCTTTCATCTCGCAAAATGAAACTCCACAGCTATTTTTTTTTAAGATTTTATTTATTTATTCATGAGACACAGAGAGAGGCAGAGGGAGAAGCAGGCTCTATGCAGGGAGCCCGATGTGGAACTCGATCCCAAAACCCCCGGGTCACGCCCTAAGCCAGGGGAAGACGCTCCACCCCTGAGTGCCCCCCCCCCCGCCCCAGGCGTCCCTAAACTCCACAGCTATCAACTCTTCTCACCCCCTCCGGAGCGCTGGGCATCGTCCTGTCTGCGTCCTATCTGCGTTCTGTCTCTAGGGATACCGCATACAAACCCAATCCTACAGCTCGCTCTCTTTTTTGTGAGTCGCCTATGCCCGCATCATGTCCTCAAGGTTCCCCCACAGTGCAGCCTGTGACAGGATATCTTTCCTTTTCGCGGCTCCGTAATATTCCACTGCGTGCATATACCACCGTCTAAGACAGCAAATGGTCTTTTAGCCTAGGATCCTAGTGATACTTCAGTGCAAGTATTTAAAAATCCCTTTTTTAAAAAGGATCTGAAACCCAAGTGTATGTGGGCAGCCGGTATGTTATCTGGCTCTCCAGCAGTGAACACACAGGCTCGCTCCGTCGGGGCTACCGTCCCCTAGAACTCTGACTCCTTTCTCCTGGGCCCCGGGATCGAGTCCCCCGCGGAGCCTGCTTCTCCCTCTGCCTGGGTCTCCGCCTCTCTCTGGGGCTCTCAGGGGTGAATGAATAAAGTCTGTTTTGAAAGAAAGGGCGAGCGTAAGCCACGGGGGCGGAACAGCGAGCTGGTGGCCGCAAACGCCCCGGGCCCTCAGCGTCCGGCGACGCTCCAGGCACAGGGAGGACCGGCCCCGCGGCGGAGTCTCCCCGGCCCGCTGCGCCCGTCGCTGGAGCTCGGGAATCTTGCCCGAAGGTGTGGCCTCGTGGCCCAGGGGCTCGGCCGGGACCGGCTGCGGCCCCGCGGTCCCGGGCCTGCGCGACCCAAGCCCCGCCCCTCGGAGGGCAGAGGCGAGGCGCGGGGGGGGCCCCGCCCCGCCCCCGCCCCGCTCGCGCCCAGCGACCCGCCCCTCCGCTCCCCTCCCGCTCTCCCCGCCCCTCCCCCGCCCCCTAACCAGGTAAGCTCTCCCCGCCCCGCCGCTCTGCCCGCTCCCCTCTCCGCTCCCCCTCGGCCCGCCCCGCCCCCCTCGCCAAGCGCGCTCGCCCCGCCCCGCCCCTCCGCCCGCTCCCCTCTCCGCTCGCCCTCGCCCCGCCCCCCCCGCCCCTCCGCCCGCTCCCCTCTCTGCTCGCCCTCGCCCCGCCCCCCCCGCCCCGCCCCTCCGCCCGCTCCCCTCTCCGCTCGCCCCGCCCCCCCGCCCCGCCCCTCCGCCCGCTCCCCTCTCCGCTCCCCCTCGCCCCGCCCCGCCCCCCTCGCCAAGCGCGCTCGCCCCGCCCGCCCGCCCCCTCGCCAAGCGCGCTCGCCCCGCCCCGCCCCTCCGCCCGCTCCCCTCTCCGCTCGCCCTCGCCCCGCCCCGCCCCCCCGCCCCGCCCCTCCTCCCGCTCGGGGTCCGCGCCTGCGGGCCGGGCAGCATGGGCGCGGGCGGCCCGCTGCTGCTGTGCGCCTCGCTGCTGCTGGCGGGCTGCGCGCTGGGCCTGCGCCTGGGCCGCGGTCGGGGCGCGGCGGACCGCGCGGTGCTCGCCTGGCTCTGCTACGACGCCCTGGTGCACTTGGCCCTGGTAGGTGGGGCGCCGCCGCCCCGGGACCCCCCCCCGCGGCCGCCGCGCCCTGCAGCGGGCCGGGCCTCCGCGGAGACCGAGCATCCCCCGCGCGCCGCCAGGGAGGCCCGACCCGGACCCCACGGACGCTGCTGCTCTACGGCCACGTGCCTCGGCCTCCCGGATCCGTCCTCACCGGGGGCAGAGCGCCGGGGAGCTTTGGAGGGAGCAGGGAGGGGGGGGAGGGGGCAGGGATTGGGAGGGGGTGGGGGGAGAGGGAGGGGGCAGGGATTGGGAGGGGGAGGGAGGGAGAGGAGGGGGGAGGGAGGAGAGGGAGGGGGCAGGGATTGGGGGAGGGAGGGGGGAGGGAGGGGGAGGAAGGAAGGGAGGGAGAGAGGGGTTGGGAGGGGAGGAGGGAAGGGAGGGGGAGGGAGGAGGAGGCGCCCCGCGCCAAGTCTGGCTCCGAAGTTCGCCCTCTGTACCAGGCCAGGCTTTGGGAGGCGCGTCCCTAAAAATGCAGCCCACTTTATGAATAACCAGGAGGTTAATATTTAAAGGAATTCTGTTGACGTTCCCCCTCTCCTCCACGCACACACACGTTTTTTTAAAGGTTTTTTTGTTTTTAAATGATTATGCCAAAATAGCTTTTTTGCACGTTTGACCTCGCTTAGATCGAGGCAGACGTGTGGCTCATGTGCAGCGGGTCTGTAGGACTGAAGAAGAAATTTGATGCTCATTTAGTTCCCTGGATGTCTGTCAGTTGGATATATGCACATACAGACGTTGCTGGAATGTGAAATTCTTTCTTTCCTGAAAGTTTACTGCATGTGGAAATAGTCAATGGGCCCCTCAATTCCTTTATTTATAGAATTGACTTTTTTAAGCTGTCATTGGACACAAGGTCTCCCAAAGAACAGCAGCAGTAAAACGGGTGGCCAGGCCCTCATAAAGAAGATGCAGGATAACGTACTTTAGATGTGCAAAGATGCATAATGACGCTAAAACAAATACCCAGATGCCCACCACCTAGCTCAATAACATGAAGTCTGCTTTTCAAGCGCAGACTGTTCGGGGTAACAGCGCTTCCGTGGAGATAGTAATATTACTATCACAGTAACAGTGTCTAGTAGACTAGCAACTAGTATCACTACTAACAGTAATATTACTGTTCCAGGTAATATTTACCTGGTAAATATTCCAGGTAACGTCTCCATTTGTGACCCCTTCCGGTGTAACTCCATGCATGAAGTCACTGCATCCCTCCTGCTGTTCTGCAGGAAATGCCCTGATTTATCTCCCACGGCCCCAATGTACGTGTCCCAGCTGCAGAAGAGTCCACTGTATGAATGCACCATACCTTAGTTTTTTAATTCTAAAATGCACATTTTTTTCCCCACTTACTAGAAGTGTCAGTGACATAAAACCACTGTGGGGTAGTTAGTTGATACTTTATGTCTGTGAAATTGGGATGTATCTTACGGTTGATGGTGAAATAGGATATTTAGCACCCCACACGAACAGGTACGTTTTTGCTTTGCTGCTTACGCGCAACGCCTCGACGAGCATCCTTGCCCACCCGTCTTAGAGACCGGCGAGGAGGGCACTTGAAGGAAGGTTAAAGCCTGCGCGGAGAACACACGCCCGCATTGTCTTTGGTTGGGAGTTGGCGGCAAGAATACCCGGCAAAGTGGCATAAAGTCAGATTGGAAAAGAAAGCCCCCCGGAGAGCTGAAGGGGCCCTCGAGGCTTCGGGTTCCGCGTGATGTGGGAAGGCCTGGGAGCCTCCGGGAGCAAGGCCGGGTCACGGGCCCGCGCGGGGGCACAGGAGCTGGCTGTGCACACTTACTGTCTGGTGCCGCGCCTGCCTGTGTGCGCTCGCCCACAGCGGGGCTGAGTGTGCCTCAGTCTACCCCTTGTCCTCCGATCAAACCCCCCTGACTGTTCCCCCCCACTCTTTCCTCACCGAGAGCATGACTTAGGCCTGCCCTTCAGGGTGAAGCACAGTTGTCATGTGAGACGTGGGCTTCAGCTGTCCCCGTGCGCCCTACCCTCCCGCCCATGGGTCTTTCTTTAAGAAGTCCTGAGTCCCGGGACGGCTCGAGTCCCTATTAACCCGTGTGTTTCGGGCATCACCCTTCCCCACTGAGCATCACCGTCTGTTCCCACCTCCTGCGGCAATAACTCGAGCCTTGACTCTTGGGATTCTAGGAATGCCCTCCCCCTCCTCCTCCCCCTCCTCCTCCTCCTCCTCCTCCTCCTCCTCCTCCACCTCCTCCCTGTCCTCCTCCTGTCTCATTAGGTCTCAGGTTACCTTTTAGCTCACAGTCTGTGGCTGTCTCCTGTCCTCCCTCCCTTTTCTGGCCCTGTCATCTCCATGGGTTTGCTGTAAGGCACAGCTCCGCCCTGGCAAATGCGTGGGTGGCCCCCGGGCCGGTGGGCAGGCCTGGCGGGTCGCCGTGGGCTTCGCTCTGTATCTGTGGTAAAGCCCTGCGACGGCTCACTTTCAGTGCCAACTCGACCGAGCCGTGGGACGCCTGGTTCTGTTTGCCCGCGTGCTGGTCTGAGCGTTCTGTGAGGCTGTTTTGGATACGGTGGGCATCGAGGGGGAGCCTGGCAGGCTCCTCTGGCTGGTAGAACACGTGACTCTTCATTTCAGGGCATTGAGTTCAAGCCCCATGTAGGGCATGGAGCCTCCTTTAACATAACATAACATAAAATTTAAGCTATAGACTGAGTTTGGGTGTTATCTGTTGGCAAATCAAACTTCAATAAAAATATATATATAAATAATAAATGAACTTGTAGACTGAGTAAAGTAGATCACCCCCCTGTGGGTGGGCCTCATCTAATCAGTTGAAGGCCTGGGTGGGACAAAAAGGCTGACCATTGTTCAGAGTAAGCTAGGATGCCTGCTGCCCTCAGACCGGTGGGTACATGGGCCTTTTCTGCCTTCCAGTCACCCCGCAGGTCACGGGGTCCCAGCCTTCATGAGCCCTTGGACCGGCTCCTGATGATGCACCATCCGTGTCCGTGTGTCTGTCTGCGTGTATCCCTGTCCCCCTGGGTCTGCCTCTCAGGAGAACCCTGATACACGCGTAGAAATGGTGCCAAATTCCGAGTCCGAGGAACAGCACCCATAGCGACCCAGCGGCTGTTTTGAGGGTGCGGGGCCTGTGCAGCTCAGGCCGAAGTTCCCTTAGTTCTCTAGCGTCCTGGACGAGCCGCGCACCAGGGGCAGGTGTCTGGGCGGCCAGGCCTCAGGACGGAATCCTGACCCATGGTTCCTCCTCTCCACAGATGGCTGGGTGCCGGCTGGGGTGCTGGGTGCCAGGGGCCGGGTGCTGTCTGGGGTGCTAGGGGCTGTCTGGGGTGCTGGGTGCCGGCTGCTGGGTGCCGGCTGGGGTGCCGGGTGCCGGCTGCCGTGTTCATCCAGACAAAACGCGTGTCCTTCGTCCCCTCGGAGCTGAGAGCAACAGCCACCAGTGTCACTCTTGGTGGGACTCAGAGGGGAAGTTGCTTTTGCAGATAGTGCGGGGAGAAGCTTCGTTTCTCCTAAAAAAAGGGTGGGGGGTGTTGGGTCGTGTTGCTTTCCGACAGACAGCACGGTGGCCCTGCCTTGGCCTGGCCGGGAGGCTGGCACCTGGACGTCGCAGCAGCAGGACGCCCCGCGTCGGCCTCGCCGGCCCCCTCGTCTGCTCTCACGCACTCTCGTATTTTTGGTGACCGATACCTAAAAAATCTTAAGTACGTTTTGCCATTTAACCGAACGTCTTTGCTGTGATTGAGCGGGAATAGCAGAGCAGGTATACGAGTAGCTCAGGAGAGGTTGGCGCTGCCGAAATCCGCCTCCTCCGAATGGACACGCGCGGGGAAATGCCGTGGCTTCGGTCGGCTTTTGCTCTGTCCTCTGTGACGCTAAACACCGTGTGTGATGGTCTTGTCTCCCTCCATCCCGGGTGCCGGCTGGGGTGCTGGGTGCCGGGGTAGGAGCCGCCTGGAGAAGCTGTGGGCACCCCGCGGCGGGGAAGGATCCTCTCCTCCAGCTCCTGGTCCTTATCAAGCACTTGTCTGCCTGTCGCGCCGCAAGGAGCTCAGCGTCGAGGGGGTCGGAAGGCCTCCCTGGGTCACCCGTGGTCTAGAACAAAATTGCTTTAAATTGTAGATGCCCCGTGATCGGTGCAAGACCTGTGACACTTACCCCCAGGATCACGCCCCGGGCTGAGGGCGGCGCTGAACCGCTGAGCCCCCGGGCTGGCCTGGAAAGTGACTTCTGAGTGTCCGCCTGTTTCCGCGGCCACCGTGAGATACTTTCCCGTGCGCTTCCCTTGCGCCTCCACGGTTGCTGCTGAAGAGGGGAAACTGTGAGGCTCGGTCCGTGGCCGTGGAGCAGCCGCTGCTTTCCCGATTCCCTTTTTGCGCGTTTCGGCTTCCCGGAGTCATGACTTCCGCTCGATGACATCCCCCGTGTGGCCGCCAACACAATCACAGCCTCGGACCTTTCCATCCCTGGTGGTTTTTTTTTTTTTTAAGATTGTATTTATTTATTCCTGAGACCCCCAGACAGGGAGGCAGAGACCCCGGCGGGAGAGGCCTGAGGCGGGACTCGATCCCGGGGCCGGGCTCGTGGCCTGGACCGCAGGCCCCCCCCCCACCCCCGCCAAGGCCCCGGCGCCCCCAGCCCTGGGCTCCGGCCGGGGGCCTGCTCCGCTCACCGCCGCCTCCTGCGGGTGGCGTGTCCGATGGCGGGGCCGGGGCCGTGGTCCTGTGTGTGGCTCGGCCAGTGCCCGGCGTGGGGCCCGGGCGCATCCCGACTCACGCATCCGATTACCGGCTCGTGGACGTCGGGCTGTTCCTGGTTGGGGACTGTCCATAAAACCCGCGTTGAGAGACGTGCCCCCAGCGCCCGTGTGAGCGTGTTTCCATTCCCGGGTGGGGGGACGACTCTTCTGACGGGGACAACTGCCAAGCGTTCCCGAGGTGGCTGTGCCGGCTCCAGTCCCGCCGGCGTCGCCCGACGGTGG